TCAAATCACATAGTAACATTTTTTACCTTAAATACATAATAAAACTTAAATTTTATTATTATTATTTTTTTTCAACGCCTTCACTCATTCACTCATTCATTCATTCAATCTCTCATTCTCTCTCTCTCTCTTTTTTTTTTTTTTACTCCCGTAGATTTTCCACTTTCACATTTTTATGCCAGCGTTAAATAAATCTAATTTCGATGCAAGACTTTTCCCCCTTTCCCCCTCCCCCCGCCCTTTGAGTGATTTACCGCAGGAACAAATTCCAATTTCTGGGAATTTGATAAATCGTTTTTTGGATTTATCCTTTTCTATCCCTCAAAACGTGCTCACCATTGCCTGCCTGCCTGCCCGACCTCCCTCCCCCCTTCTTTTTCTTCCCCTTCGGATCCACCTAAAAAATCCTCCCCTCACTTTTTCATCTTATTTGATTTTTTTTTTTTTCCCTCGTTCACAAAACTCAATTCATTTAAATTTTATTTTTTATTTTTATCAACAAAAAAAAAAAAAAGTTTAAAGTAAGTCTAAAGTTTTATACACCGAAGGTAGATTTCCAGTTTCCAACAGGGGATTTCGTGAATAAATAATATTTTTATTATTATTATTATTTATTCGATTTAAAAAATTTACAAAAAAAAAAAAGAAAAAAAAGAAAAAAAACTTACCGTTTTCGTCTATGGAAAAATATCCGACACCGTCTCCTCCTTTTATATAATATGAAACCTTGGAATCATCTCCCGGTGGATCCTGATCAACAGCTTGAACTGTCGTCACAACAGTTCCAACCGGTAGATTTTCTTTTACGGAACACGACACTACAAAATCTGGAAAAACAGGCGGGTAAGCATTTTCGTTAACGTCTTCAACTTCGACGATTATTGTAGTCTCCGAAAAAAGCGGCGGGGATCCCTTATCCCGAGCTTTCACCACAAGATTGTGGATTTGCCTTAATTCGAAATTAAGTTCTTTTGCCGTTCTAATCGTACCAGATTGTTTGTCTATTGTGAAAAGGCCTTCGCCATCGGTTTCCGCGGATATAAAATATCGTATTTCACCTCCTTCTCTCAAATCGGGATCGGATGCACTGACCACCGCCACGACCGTACCCACGGGCACATCTTCTCTGATTCTTACGGTGTACGAAGGAAGTGCAAACACGGGAGCATTATCGTTAACATCGTCAATATGTATTTGTACTATGGCGTCCGAATAGAGAGAAGGTTTACCCGTGTCTTTTTCACCTCCGTCTACGGCACGAATTTTAAGTTCGTATAAATCCTGTCTTTCTCTGTCTAAACCCGATGATACGAATAAAATTCCCTGAACGGGATCCACCGAAAAATCTTTCGTATCCGTTATCAAATGATATGACACGATTCCGTTATTTCCCAAATCCTTGTCGGTGGCGTTGACTCTGAAAATGGCCGTGCCATTTGCTTCGTTTTCCGGTATTCTAAAACTCGCGACGGATTTTTCGAAAATCGGAGGATTGTCGTTGATGTCTAAAATTGTTATTGGCAATATTTTAGAGGAAGACTTTTGAGGTCGGCCCAAGTCGAATACGCTTATGTTCAAAAGATATTCATCCGTTCTTTCACGATCTAAGTAACCAATGACTTTTAATTCTCCAGTATCGGAATCTATTTTAAATACGGAATCTTGGTCCCCTCCCGATATACCGAAAACAAGTTTTCCGTTGTATCCCAAATCTCTATCGCGAGCTTGTATGGTAGTTAAACGCGTTCCCAGAGCAGCCGACTCGTTGACTTTTATTTCCAAAGGAAAATTAATGAATTCCGGCGAATGTATGTTTTCTCCGTAACGACTCGGCATCATGGCAAATTCTTCTTGGTGTTGGAGAGGCATGTTATTTTTTTCGGCGGCAGCTAAGACTTCAGTTAAGCGTCTCGCGACACCCGTGTCTCTACATTCAAAGGCTCCGATATCGTCTGATATGAACCTTCCGTGTCCCGGCAAATTTCGCTTCGCATTAACTAAATACATGTGCACTCTGTTAACATCGGCGAAATGAGTTCCATCCGTGGCTGTGACGTTTAAAGTTCTCTCGCTCACTTGCACGTCCATGAGATCACAGGTGACCGATAATATTCCGGACGTCGAATCTAAAGCGAAGCAATTATCTTCATTTCCAGAAATTAATCTGTAACTTATTATGTTACTTGCATCGAAATCTATGGCCGACAACGTCAATATCTCTGTTCCGATGGCAACGTATCTCGGAACGTGACCTGTACATTCTACTTTTTCAAACTGTGGACGGTTGTCGTTGATATCTTTTAAGCGTATTTTAACTTGCATTTCGGTTTGACGCCGAAACGGAAGGCCCCAATCGGAGGCTCTTATTCTAAGAATATAATTCCTTCTCATGCTTTCGTAATCTAAAACTTGCGTTGTCCGAATGATTCCACTAAAATGGTCTATTTCGAAAGGCACTGGATTAAGGTTGGCTATGCTATATGAAATGTATGAGTTTTCCCCGAAATCTTTGTCCTTGGCAGTTACTTTAAGAACCGTAGTACCCGCGGGTTCGTTTTCATCGATGACGACGTTCATTTCGGAGGTATCAAATGTCGGATCGTTGTCGTTCATGTCAAGGACGTTGATTTTAACTTTAGCCGACGATTGTTTCCTTCCCCTTACGGTGCCCTGATCGATGGCCGACACCGTTAACGTATAAAATGATTTTTCTTCGGCATCTAATATTTTTGCCGTGTATAACATTCCCGTTTCCGAATTTAAATAGAATTCGTTACCTTCGTTGCCACCGACTATTTCTAAAAAGACTTTTGCATTTTTACTTTCGTCGGGATTGGCCACTTTAAGTCGGATAACGGGGGAATTAACGGGTGAATTTTCCGGAATGTTTACTTCGTATATTTCCCTATCGAATATCGGTATGTTATCGTTGATGCCGGCTATTTTCAATAAAACGGATTTGAAACTTTGTTTAGGGGGCGTTCCACTATCTACGGCTCTAAGTGTTATATTATATAATTTAGGATGATTATCTCTATTTATGCATTCTAAAAGCTCTATGCTATATTCGCCGTCGTCGATTTTTTTTATTCTAAAATGACCGTCCGAATCTCCGTCGACGATATCCAAGGATTTGATCGCACCGTGAATTCCTTTATCGTTATCTATGACCCTGACAAATGCGGCAACTCTGAAATTTGCATTTTCTTCGACGTCGGTCAATGTTTGAACGTATATTTCAGGCACGCAAAAGTTGACCTCTTGGACTCTTATTATGAGTTTGGCAGTGCTTTGTCTGGAAGTGGCACCTCTCGAAGTGAATCCCCTATCTTGTCCGATCACTGTTAATTCGTGCATCGATTTGTCATGATATCGCAAACGTCGAGTCAAAGAAATGACTCCCGTCGTAGGATGAACGCTAAATTGATCCGTTCGTTCCGCAAAGCTATAATACACTTCACCGTTTCGACCGGAATCGGCGTCTTCGGCTAAAACTTTCAATATGCTTTTATGAAGGGGCATGTCTTCCGGTACTGTTTTTTCGTATTTACTATGAAAAAATAAAGGTTTTAAATCGTTCACATCTAATATGTTTATAAAAACCACGGTGTTCGTTTCGACGGGTTTTTTCCCGATTGTTCCCGTCGCCTTAACATCAATAATATATTTATCTTTTCTTTCACGATTTAACACGTCATTCATATTCGTTCTCGTCCGTATAATTAAAAAGCAAAAATCTCCCACCACGAGTTCTTCGGCTTTGAAAAATTTATCTTTGTCGCCGCTGACAATTTTAAAATGTATTTTTTCCAAATCATCCGGCACGTATATTCCCATTTTTTCTTCCGAAACGACATTTGTTTTCCAAGGGGAATTTTCCGGTATGGTTGCATTATAACTTTCCTTGGTAAATTTAAATTCATAGACTTTATCATCGTGGCGAACGGTGGGTTCGTCGTTTCGATACGCGTTCGGCGAAAGAGAACTGACGGAATCAATTGTTGGAAAAAATAAATTGGACGATCCTGGAGCGACGACGGTTGTTGTAGTAGATATGGATTGAGGGGATAATGGAAAGGGGGTTTGAGGAGTTTCCCAATCAGGAAATTCTGTAGTTTCTGACCATTCTCCCGTTATTTCTTTCGATGATAAAGTAACGGAAGAAGCCAAAAAAAGGAATTGTATCATCCAAATTCTCCAAATGGAACATCGCCATTGCCACTTCATTTTTTTCATTTTTTGCTTTTGTTTTTCCTCATGTCACATAATTTCTTTAAATTTTTTTCCGATTTTCATTTTTCATCGTACGATCCTGAAATGATAATAATAATAACAAAAATTATACACTAGAAAAACTAAAAAAAATGGAACGAAAAAAATTGTTGTTGTTTTTTTCTAACGCACGTTTATTATCAGAAAAAAAAAATTCATATCAAATTTGAAATAACACAAGCAGCATAAACACACACGCACACACCTCTACGTGTGTATATATATATATAAGGTTTGACTTTTCAATTTCATAAATGTAAAAAAAAAATTTGTCTTTTACACGCGATTCAAACATTAATTCATAAATGAAACAACCACTCGGTGAGTAAAAAAAAAAAAAAAAAAAAAAATTAAGTGTAAGTAAGTAGAAGAAAAAAAAAAAAAATTCATTTTCTTTTTATAGCAGAAGGCAATCGAAAAGATTTAATCGTTTATTCTATTAGGGTTAACGACTAATCGTTAATCTCGTAAATCCAAATTAACCAAATTAATGCACCGATCAAAAAAATTTTTTTTTTTCATTCTATTCCTTCTATTAATAGATTTTTTTTCTCACTCTCTCTCTCTCTCTCTCTTTTGTTTTTTTGTCTTATTTAACACTCGGTTATATCTTTTTTTTTGTTTTATATATTCAGGCATGTGATATATTTACACGTTCATAAATTATAGTTATTATAACAAAACTTTTTTCCTTTTATATTTTTTTTTATATTATGTGCCATATTTATTTATTATTATTATTATTATTTTTCTTTCTTTTTATTCGGATATTAAATATGAAACAAGAATATTATACACGTCGCGTAATTTTTTCTTTTTTTAAAAAACATTTTCACCTTTTCGATTTATTTATTAATTTAACAATTAAAAAAATAATAATAATAATTTATTTAAATAAATTCGGATAATTAATTTTTTAAACAATTCATTCATTAAACAAAAAAAGAAAAAAATTATAAATTTATATTTAAAAAGGTTAATTTTTTAATTTTTTATCATCAACCTTCCCCCCCTTAAAAAAAAGGAAAAATTTTTGAAAGGAATTTTCCTCTTTACTTTTAGTTTAATGGGGTGAAATGGGGCGTAAATAAAAAAAAAGAAGAAGAACGGGGGGAGAGGGAGGAGGAAGAGGAGTTTTGAGTAAAAAAAGGAAAAATTTACAAGGAATAAAAAAAAAAAAAAAAAAAGTTTTAATGAAATGGTTGCCAAACAGTAGAAAAATTTGAAACCGGAAATGGAAGAATCAGTGAGCGGAAGTCAATTCAACAAAGTAAAAAAAAAATATATATATATAAAAAAGTGAAAGAAGAAGAAGCAGAAGAATAGTTTAAAAAAAAAAAAAAAAATTTATATTCGAAAGACAAAAAATACGTTTTAAGTTGAAAAACTAATTTGGATTTTAAGGCAAAGAACAAATAAATTAAAAAGGTTAAAAAAAAAAAAGAGGAAAGAAAGAAAGAGAAAGAAATTATAATTCACGAGTTTTTGTTTTATATTTAAATGAGGATAAAAATTTTATTATAATAAGGATACCTTAAAGAAAAACGATTTCCGCCGGGAAGGAAAAATCACGCTTGTGTCGGGAATTAAAATGACAAAATCTTGGAAATTAAAAAAATACAAACGGGTAGTAAAAAAAAAAAAATTCTGGATAAAACAATGGGTTTAGATAATATTTTTACGAATAATCGATAATAACTTTATCAATCAATCAATTAATCAATCGATCATTGATCGAATTCAATCCTCGAAAATCCTTTGTGCTTTAATGTAAAACTTTTCTTATTTAAAAAAAAAGAAAAATGGCGTCGATTAAAGATGACGCCGAGAAAGAATTTAATATTAATTAAATTAATTATTTAAAATCACGATTCGTTAAAACATTTTTTAAATAAATAATTTAATAACAATTTATTTATTTATAACATTTAAATAAATAAATAATTTTTTTTTTAAGTGTATTCTATCGCGTATAAACTTATAAACGAAGAGTTTTTTATTTTAATAATTTCTCACCCTCTTCCCCCCCTCTCTCTCTGTCTCTCTCTCCCTCCCCCCTCTCTCTTTCTCTGTCTCACTTTCGCAATTTACAATTAATAATAATTAAAAAAAAGCGGAAAATTATATATATTATTATAAATGTGTGTAACGAATTGAAAAAAATAAACAAAAAATGGCAACATCGAAAATAAATTAATTCGAGTAATTATTAATAAAAAAAAAAATATTTCAAGTATTTTTCATTAATAAATAAATAATTTATTAATTAATATTAAAAGCAGAGATTCCAAATTTTCCCTTTTTTTTTTTTTTTTTTTTTGTGAATCGGGAATGAGGTCGAAAAGTCTGGACTGGAATGAATGCAAACAAAAAAAAAAAAAAGCAATTCCCGTTTAAATTTTGTTGTTGTTGTTTTTCTTAACATAGTAATAATAATAATAATGAAAGGGGGAAAAAGAGGGGAAACGGGGAGGAAGGGAGGAAAAAGGACGTCGACATTTCCTTGATACTTTTATAGGTGAAAAAAAAAAAAATCCGTTTCGATTAGGAAAAAAATTTTTTTTTTTTGGTCAGCACAAATTTTTGTTTTTTTTTTTTTGTTTTTGTCAAAAAGGAAAAAAGGAATGAAAAAAATGGAAAAAAGGAAAAAAAAATATAAGGAGAAAAAAAAATAAATTTTGTATAAAAGTTTAATTGCATGATTATTAATTAAATTAAATTAAACAAAAAAAAAAAAATGGCGCCATTTTCTTCTGATTTTGTCTCGCCAACAATATGCAAAATGTAATTTATAAAAAGAGACAGAAAGAGAGAAAGAGAGAGAGAGAGAAAGAAAGAGAGAAAAGTAAAGATTTTAAATACTTTTTTTTTTTTGCTTCTTAACATTTTTTAAATCCTAAAAAAAAAAAAATTTTTCTTTTTTTGTTTGGTTGTTTGTTTGTTTGTACTCTACAATCATAAACAAAACTTTAAATTTGATTAAAATTATTCGAAACAATTAAATAGAATGTAATTTAAAAGACAACAACAAACAACAATCGTATTTAAATTAATAAAAAAAATAATAATAATATAAAATAATTAATAACAACTTTTTAAAATTTCTTTATTAATAATTAAATTATTTTCTATTTAGAAGATGACGACGATGATGATGATGATGATGATGATGATGATGATGATGATAATGATCATAACGACAACGACAGCAAAAAAGAAAGAAAAAAATTTTAAATAAATAAAATGGCGGACGATACGAATAATGAACGTCACACATTTTTTTTTTTTTATTCATTTTAATAAACGATAGCAAATGTTTCAGGATTTTTAAATAATAATAATAATAAATTACATTTCATTAAAAATTGTTTGTTTTTTTTTTTTTTTTGAGGTTTTCTCGCATTAAGAATTTAAAAATTAAATGGGCATGCGCAGAAACCGAACTTTAAATGCATATATGGACTTTTTTTTTTTTATTTAAATAAATGAATAAAAAAGAGTGAATAATCCTGCGAGGCATAAAAAAAAAACTGTTTAATTGAAAAGTTTTTTTTTTTTAAATCAAAATTGTTTTTTTTTTTTTTTTTTTTTTTTAGGGGGGAAAAAAACCAAAGCAGACGGAAAATGAGAAAATCAAATTTTAAAATCAGTAAAACAAAAAAAAAAAAAAATATTCGATGGTTTCCGACTCATTTTTTTTCTTTCGTAAACGTAATAATTTCAATTAAGTTACGGCGGAAGGAAAAGAGCAAAAAAAAAAAAAAAAGAGCAAATCGGGAAAAGGAGCAAATAAAAAAAAAAAAAGAAAAAAAATTCATGTAAATAATAAATAAAAAATAGGAATGATGATTGTTACGGCATACGGAAGAGAATTTTTTAATGAATGCTGCTATTATTATTATTATTATAGTGATGGAAACGTGGGTAAAATGACCCCGAATGACCCCAAAAAGAAAGAAAACTCATTAGCGCCATTGATTGACTTGATTAATTTTTAATCTGGTTGACCTTTGATTTTATTAATATATATATATATATATATATATATATATATATATATATATATATTATTATATATATATATATATTTATTATTATTATTTTCACTTCTTTTTTTTTTTTAATTCGTTCCAGGGCAGACCCCACTATCTCTCTCTCTTTCTCTCTCTTTCTATCTCTGGCAAATTCCTTTGGAAAATAATGTTTTCCAATAGCGAATGAATGCGGTACGAATCCCAACTACGTTACCGCCGCCATCATCGAAATTATTTTCGTTTTTTTTTTTTTTTTTTTTACTACGTCCAGGAATTTTTTTTTTTTCTATTTTTAATCATCGTCGTTCGTTCAGCACAACAACAACAACAGCAGCAGCAGCCTTTTTTTTTCTTCTGCAGATTTATATGTAATGTATTTTCACTGTTGGCACGGATAATTCAATTAATTTAAATCATTTTTTTTTTTTTTAAATTCTTTCTGTTCTCACGATGATAATGATAATGATGATGATGATGATAATGATGATGACGTTCGAATGGTACACGTACCACCCTTTACTACTGCTACGAGTTTTTGTTTTTTTTCCATTCGTTTCAGCGTTGCTTTATCCGATTAAAATTATTTTAATTAAAAATTATTATTATTATTATCATTTTTTATTTTAGCGTTCGACGACGACGTCGACAGAGTTTTAAATTTAAAAAAAAAAAATTTTAATGAATATCGATTAAAATATTTTGTGTCGAGGCAACAACATTAATTCGAACGGTCACTTCTTATGATGAAGTTTTATCGTTGTCTGATGGTGAGATTTACACGCACGTACACACGTGCACACACACACACACACCCCCACGTGTATGAATTCCAATGAAAAAAAAAAAAAAAATTTTTTTTACGATATAAAATTAACCAACAATTTATTTCATTTCGTGAATTGTAGGGGAGAAAAAAAAAAA